TTGTAAAAGAGGACCCGGTGCGGACGGAGTGTCTGAATCAGGGACGCCCCGGAGGGAAAAAAGGCGTTAGGTGAGCCGGTGCGGAACGAAGAAAATGAACTGCCACGCATTTCACTGAGACAATGCAGCAGGGCACAGCACGGCAGCAGTGATACGCTTGTGCATCAGAAAGGTCAAAATATACAAATTTCGTATGTTTCTGGCCATTCAGGGAAAAATTTCGAAAAATACGAAAATTACGGAATAAATTATGTATTTGACGGTTTAAAACGTATTTTACCCTAAGATTGAATAAATCACGGTATTTTTAAATCACTGTGAAGAACGCAACAAAAAACGACGCATTTTGCCACCCAAGTATTATGCTGGAAAGAGCAGCCCTTTAACCTTTCATCTCGGTGCGTGTTACGTGCAGGCGCGCGCAAACTAACAAGCCCTACCTAGCAACTTGCCGATACGCGTCACCGCCAGCACAGGGAGCTAAAAGCGGGCGGAGGGCGCACCACTGCTTCGGGGTCTCAGGGAGACGCCCTCACGGACGTGAACAGGGTGTCATAATTTTGAGCGCTGCCGTTTGGAGGCTGCTCCACTGCTGCTGGGCGATTCAGAAAATTCCTCGAGGCACTCTGTCTCCGTCGCACTCATGGCGCATGCCGTGGGGCTGCGAGAGAGGCGGAGCGATAAAGCAGCCCCTCTTCTGAATCGCAAGGCGGCTGCTCGGGCCCCGGCGGCCCTCCGGCGCCGCGACGCGAAATGGGCAGTTAACGCGGTATCCAGATCCTCATTCCTGCCTCTGCCGGCAGCGCGGCCGCGGTCGTGGAGGCACCAGCCAGCCCCTTGAGGGAGGGCCCTGACCCCAAAGGGGGCGGGGAGGCGAGCCCTTCGGAGACGCCGCTGCGGTTCTAATTGCCCCCCCCCTCCCACGCGAAGAATCGTTCCAGTGTCGGAGGGAAAAATGAAGGGAACGGCGACGCGTCGTGTGTAATAGGCGTTTAAAGTGGTTCCATAACGCGCAAGAAATGAGGGGGATTTTCTTTCCATGGACTCGGGAAGAATTTCCCTCGGCGTCCCTCCCGGCCCCGCACTGCCCCGCCGCTCTTGACTTTGGCGCCGGCCGAAAAATAATTGAGAGCGCCGAGCTGAGGCTGCGTGCCGTGGTGTTGGCCGGGTGAGTCACGGAGAGAGAGGGATAGACAGAGAGAGAGAGAGAGAGGGCTCAAAAAAAAAAAGAGAGAATTAAAACAAATCCCCCGCGGTGGCCTCTCTCTTGCTCCACCCACCTGCGCGTGCCGCCGCGTGCTGGGGATTCACTCACCGCCACTGCTCGGTGATGGCGTTGAGTCCATCAATCTGACCGAGCGGCGCCTCGCCGTGATACCGCGGCATCGATGACCCAGCCAGCCCAGCCGCGAAGAGCGTTGATGTATGCTAATGCAGGCGGGGCACTCGCTTTCTCTCTCGCACTCCGCACTCATGAGGCGAGCACTGTGAGTGTGTGTGTGTGTGTGTGTGTGTGTGTGTGTGTGTGTGTGTGTGTGTGTGTGTGAAAGAGAGAGAGAGAGAGAGAGAGAGAGAGAGAGAGAGAGAGAGAGAGAGAGAGAGAGAGAGAGAGAGAGAGAGAGAGCAGACGGACAGAGTGACGAAAGCAGTGTTTGGCATGACTGCTGGCCCGCGCTTACAGGCTGGGGTCATGCGGTAACTTACAGAGTGGATGGACATGGATTTATTGTAAGAGCCAAATGCATTACTCTGTCCTTGTCCCTGAATAGAAATGTGTAGGACTCTGATGAGATTTGTGGTATGAGGGGGGCGGGGGATAGTCAGGGCGCGGCCCAATTTTCACTTGGGATTGACGAGACTTCTGTATCTCTTAAACGGCTAGAAATTAAAAGTTATGCAGAATTATGACATATTAATTTGAATTTTAGATAGCATGTTGAGGCCTAACAGCGCTAATGGCAATGTCCCTATTATTGACTTTTTTTTAGCGTTTCACGAGATATAGAAATAATGTTTAAAAAGAAATGCAATGTTTGCGCGCCGCGCCGTGGCGTGGGGGGAGAGAGCCGTTTGAATGTTGTGACATCGCAGAACCATTGGTCTGTGTGGCGATTCCGCTATTTCCAGTCCCGCGAAGGCCAATGAAAATGCTTTTTTGTCAACGACAGGCCCTTGTGACACGATCTGTTACGCTCTTCAGTCCAACCCATCGGTTTGGTCATTTTGCCCAATCCCGATTCTGCGTAAGCAGCTGCCAGTCTGCTGCCGGTAACCGCGGGGTCTCGCGCTTCCAGGAGCGACCGCGTCTGTTTTTCACCTGTTTGTTTTTCGGCTGCCCACCGTTCGACGGCTCATGTCAACAATGGAAGAAATGGGGCACCAATGGGGCACCCGTTCGTGTGACGGCTGTCACCCCGACGTCACTCCACCACTGTCACTCCACCGCCGTCACGACTGCCGCGCCACCGCCCACTCAAAGGTTCCCCACCGCGTGCGCGGCCTTGCTACCGCCGACCGTGGCCACCCCGGTGCGGCCTGCGTCAACGGGCACCAAAGTGCGGCAGGGTGAGGGCGGCAACGGCGCTGGGCTGGGCGGGGCCCGCGGCCGAGAGTGGCCGCGAACGTCACTCGGCGTTTCCGGCTGCCAGTGAACTGCCAGCTTGACGCCCCGTTGTCGCGCTGCCCGCTGGTGCCCGCTGGTCCCCGCTGGTCCCCGCTGGTCTCGCTGCACGCGACCGCCGGCACGGCCCTTCGCCCCTCGCACGGCCCTCGCTCGGCCCTCGCACGGTCAGCGCCCGGGGTTGGGGCTGGGCTGGGCTGGAGACCGAACTGCTCCACGCCCGACTCCGCCCGGATCGGACATTTGGGACGTCAAATCCAGCCTCGCAGTAGTGCACGCCTTGCAGCGTGTGGAGTCGATGGCCCCGCCGCCCCGCCGCCCTGCCCCCGCGCTGTTCTGCGTCTAGGCGGCCCCACAGCTCATTCGGCCGTCTGGAGGCGACACGTCGAAATGAAGGGTTCTTTCCACCCCACCCCACCCCCGGACGCCCTTTCCCCCTCCCACTAACGTTCACCCCGCCCTGGGCGCTCTCTAGGCCGTCCTACTCTCCTTGATACGTCTGAGGTGCTCGGCGAGGTGCTCGGCGAGGTGCTCGGCGAGGTGCTCGGCGAGGTGCTCGGCGAGGTGCTCGGCGAGGTGCTCGGCGAGGTGCTCGGCGAGGTGCTCGGCGAGGTGCTCGGCGAGGTGCTCGGCGGTCGCGGTGCGTTCTGCTCGCCCCGCCCAGGCAGGCGTCGCGGCTTCGCGACCTCGCTGAATGATTCCACGCCAAGTGACGGAGGCTGGAGGGCTGCGCGCCCGCTCCGCCCTGCTTCACCCAGTTCCACTCCGCCCTCGTGCGACCGCGGCGCCACACTTTTGATTACGGGCCGACCCTCGTCCCCTCGTTCGCTGCGGCCGGCTGTTTCCTTCCCTCTTCCCGATTTCTCGCCCCTTTTGGCTTTTTCCACTCGCCCGACGGGGGTGGGATGGGGGTGGGCCCGGGGAGTTTTGTGGATACAAAACCCGAGCGAGGAAGGGGTAAGTGCTCGAGTGGGATGTTCGGATGTTCGGAGAGCACATCTCGCGGCCGGCCGGGTCCCAGGCCATGCCCAGGCCGTGCCCAGGCCGTGGGGCGGCGTGGCGTTGTGTTCGGCCGAGTTCGGTTGACGGGGCCCGGATTAATGTGCCACGGTCTGCCGGGCCGGCTTATCGGGCCGGGCTGATGCATTGCCAGCCGAGGCCTCAGCGCCCGCCCCCCCACCCCGCCCGCCCCGCCCCGCCCCGCCACACCCTTCCCCGCACTGCGAGACGTCCCCGCAACGTGACGGGCCCCACCGCGGCCCCGGGTGCGTCGCAGTCTCACTTTCCTTGACGCGCACGCCACCCTGGCGCCTGGCAAGCCTCAATACCCGGCCGCAGTGCACCGGCGTGGAGCGGGCTTGCCTACCCTGGCGCCTGGCAAGCCTCAATACCCGCCGCAGTGCACCGGCGTGGAGCGGGCTTGCCTACCCTGGCGCCTGGCAAGCCTCAATACCCGCCCGCAGTGCACCGGCGTGGAGCGGGCTTGCCTACCCTGGCGCCTGGCAAGCCTCAATACCCGCCCGCAGTGCACCGGCGTGGAGCGGGCTTGCCTACCCTGGCGCCTGGCAAGCCTCAATACCCGCCCGCAGTGCACCGGCGTGGAGCGGGCTTGCCTACCCTGGCGCCTGGCAAGCCTCAATACCCGGCCGCAGTGCACCGGCGTGAAGCGGGCGGTGCCTGCGTCGCCTTGCCATTACCATTACGGGGCTAGACCACAACTGATCGTACGCCCGCAGGGTGCGGACGTGCCTAGCCGGGCCGCGCACCGGGGGCACTTCTTTTGCCGCTTCGGCGAGGTCAAGATAAGGACTCAACCAGTTTATGGACGTGCCCGGCGCCCAGCTGCGAGGTCGCTGCAGCCACTTAGCGCTTTTAGCGCCGCACCTGCGGCATGCATCGACGGCGCTGGCGGGGCTCTCCGCCACCGTCAAATCGGCGAAGGGCGCCAGCGCGCCAGCGGGGCTCTTGGCCGATGATCATATTGACATGAAATTATGGAAAATTGAAATGACGCATTTGGCTTGGACCTGGAGTCGATGACTCCTGTCGCAGGTGTCGGAAAACGGCACACTCTCTCTCTCTCTCTCTCTCTCTCTCTCTCTCTCTCTCTCTCTCTCTCTCTCTCTCCTCACACACACACACACACGCGCGCGCGCGCACCCACCGCACACACACACACACACACACACACACAATAATGATAATCGTGTGGTTGGCATTCGCACACCGAGACGGCCATAAATACCTTTCTAAAAAGGTGAAGGGCATTGGCCCGCCGTGAGCCCTGCACGGCGCTGACGTCGGCACACATTTGTCTCGTGTCCATACATTGGGCCGATAGGGCGGGGAGTGGTATAAAGACGCGCGGGGGCAGCGGCAGGAGCACAGTCGGCAGCCAGCAGCGGCCTCCAACAACATGAAGCTCCTCGCTACATTCATCTGCGTCGCGGCGTCCCTGGCCACTTGCAGTGCACAGATCGTCACGGCGCCCCCACCGGTGTCCAACGCCTTGAAAACCGACGGGTGCGGTGAGTTGCCGTTCGGGGGAAGGCGGTTCTACGACGATCGTACATGACACTGGTGAATCAAAGGCATTAAAATTATGCCCTTTAAGGGCGTAAACGATTTACGCCCCTGGAGCGGCGTAAATCGTTAGTGCCTTTTGGAAGGGCATTAAAATTTTGCTTAAAATTCCTATACCATTTACGCCCTTCCCCAGGGCATAAAACGATTTATGCCCCTTAAAGGGCGTAAAGAGTGTATTTATGTCCTAAAGGGTGTAATTTTTATGCCTTTGTTTTACCAGTGTATTGCCTGGACAATGGTGATGTTTGCTTAAACGATTTTTGTTGTTGATGCAAACCTGTGTTGATAGTCTCAAAAGTCTTTTTGGAGAAAACTGGGAATTTTTTTTTTTAAATTGAAGGAAAAACGCTATCACAGTTTTAACTAATGATGATCGGGACATCCCAAAATTGGTGAAAACATAGAACCAGGGTTATCGATATTTCCCCTCCGCAGGTACGGGTGTCGTCCCAACGGCCTGCGCAGGCCTCTGCGACAAGCTCTGTCTCAGCGTCAAGTGCACCGGCGGCGTTTGCTCGGCGGACGCGACCACCGTCTCTTGCCGGTGTTACGATCAGTTTTCGACAACCGCGTCGACGACATGCCCGACAACCCCGCCGACGACACGCCCGACAACCCCGCCGACAACAGCATGTTGAACACCCTCGTCTGGCAGCATGCTGCCGCTATGACCTTATCGCAATAAAACACACAAAAAAGTTATTTGGGTACTGCTTTGTTTGATATGATTCGCCCTTATGCCCTTCACACTCATACACTCCTAAACTGGAATCGACTGAAGTGCTCCAACAAAACACAACCGCTTAGAATCAACAATTCTTCCAAAAACGACGATTAAAAAAAGTAACAAGATGAAAAACAGTTTTCGCCGAGCTAATAGTGGGCCGGTGTGTCCGACGCGGATTTCGCAAGCGCGCCGCGTAGTAACTTGTTCTCCTTATTATGAATATTTATTGCTGCACGGCGACGGGGCGGGCTGGCCGTGGGTGTAGCAAAGGTTTTATAGGTATAAGCAATGCGTTCACCGGGAACGTTTGAATAATGCAACACGGGCACCAAGGGGGAAACTGCGAGGAAGGGGAGTGGGTTACAAAGAAAGAGGAGAAAGCAAACACACTCAAGGTCCCGCCGGCGACCGCCTCCTGCAAATGTACAACTCGCAGTTACCGGAGTAAAACTGTCACACCGCCACAGAGTGCAGTCAAGGCGCAGCGCGCGGCCAACGTGCTGCTTGCTGCAGGCGCTCCCGTAATCGGACGTCCACGGTCCTCACCGTGGCGGGCTCGCCTTATGCGCACGTGGCGTGGCGGCGCGGGCGGTGCACGCCGACAAGGCCGTGTCGCTGTTCGCAGTGGATCTTGTTTGTGGCTGTCAAAAGGCAGGTTCGGTTCCCCCGCAGTGGCTCGGCGTGGCGGAGGGGAGAAAGATTCAAGGCCGCGTGCACGCGCGCGTGCGGCACACGAGGAAAAACTGTGCCAGCGAACACAACACTAGAGTCGTGATGGAACCAGCCGGCACCGACATATACAGTAATCTTGTGTGTCTACATGAGGGGATAAATCTTATCTTCGCATGTTGTCTTTGAATGGAGACTAACGCCCTTTTCTCTCTCTTTCCGCAGGTAAGCTCCGCGGCCGCCTGGCTATGGCTTTCTGATCCAGTCCTTTACGGCGCGGCTGTGGGCGGCATGGAGCGCGGCCAGCGTGGTGTCGTGTCTCCTGCACGGTAATGGGGTCTGCTACACTACGAACAGTGCACGTGGCTCGTAGCTCGGCGATGAGTAGTGTGAGTCGAGACTCCGCAGTGGTGCCCGGGGTGCTGCATCACGCGGGCCGCGCTGACGGACTGGAGCGGCGCTGGAGTGGCTGCTGCTGGCAATTCAAAGAAGGATTATAGAGATGGATGAAGAGGGATCACGTCCTGTTAATTATGTACAACCTCTGGAAACTACCCGACGGGACGGGCCACGGGGCAACCAGTACCAGCCCACCAAGATTGGAACCCCACTCATCGTGCTAGCCGTGCCTGGAGGCTAAAATGTCCGTGAATAAACCAACAGCTTGCGTTTTGGATATCGAGGGGTCCTATTCAAAGAATCTTATCTGGGCGTTCCCTCCAAGACAATCTTATCTTAAACGCAGGCGAATTTCACTCATTTTGACCATTTGTGACGGCTATGAGAGTAAGCGGAATATATTTCTACGCGCACTTTTCGTTTCTTTGATCATTCATCTTCACATTTCAGTGAATTAAATCAGAAATTATTTTGATTTGTAGCTGTATCAAATGGTCAAACTGAGTGAAATTTGCCTGCGTTTAAGATAAGATTCTCTTGGGGGGAACGCGCAGATAAGATCTTTTGAATAGGACCCCTCGATATATCGAGAAACGTTTCCGGATCAAGACGGTAAATTCGACGCTTTCTTTTCTCTTTCCTTGTTTTCCTGCGCGCCGATTAGTTTTGGGTGGAGGAGCCCAAGGACGACGCCCACTGCGTGTGACCTGTGAAACAGCCCCCGCCGCTTCGCGCAGCCGCCGTCTGGGAGCCGGGACTGCCTTCCAGGAGGCCTCTTATTTCATCGCAACGGTCATTAAAACACGGCAGAAGTTCGGCCCTCCAAATCTTCCCGCCCCCGGTCTCACGCACCTTGCCCTCCGCTGCCCCCTTTGCCAGTCAGGAGAGACCTCTGCGAGCCGACTTTCGAACTAACTTGACAGGGTTGCACACTTCTCGGCGCTCCTCGGCACACGGCGGCGGTCCTGGGGCAGCCAGTCAGTCCGTCATCTCTCCTTGACTCGGCCGTCGTCGAAGTGACCGTGAGCCTCCCTGGGCGGGCGCGGGGGCGGCGGGGAGGGAGCCACGGCCAGAGCGCGGGGAGCGCGGCATCCAGACTGGCGATAAGTCGGCAAGAGCTCCTACCAGTGGCGCGGGGAAGGGGGCGGGGGAAGCGGCCGATCGAAATGCCCGTCCCGATCTTAACTGTGTAATAAACTTGTTTTCCCTAGGTGGGTCACGGGTCTAGAGGGGTGCGCGGCGGCCCGGATAGCGGGAGGGGACGTGGAATTTCCTCTTCTCGCCCTCCTTTGCTAGCAAAAGGCGGTGAGATTTCCGCTTCGTGAGTACTGTACGTTTGCAAACACCTCCACCATCCTCGTTAGAGGCCGAGGCACACAATCCACAGCCTGGTACAGAAAAAGGGGCAAGGATGAAAAAGTACGGGCCCTCCGTACCGGTTCCCCGTAGTCCCCGATAAAGGAGAAGGTTACGGAAAACATGCACGCCGTAGTTGGAAGGGTATGGATTTTTCTGTGCAAAGCTATCCTTTGCCTCTATGAGTGGCCAGAAGTGCCCTCCGTACCGGTTCCCCGTAGTCCCCGATAAAGGGGAAGGTTACGGAAAACATGCACGCCGTACACTCTAAATGTAGGGTGCCCAGCAACTGGGCGCCTTTGTCGCCGGCCCCACTTTTTAGGGTGCCAAATGTCGCCCAGTTCCTGGGCACCTTTGTCACTCAGTCTCGGGGTGGACAAACCATTAAGAAACCTGCCTTCACCCATGGCTCAGCAGCAACTGAGGTGCCGAAGGTGCCCAGAATCTAGGCACCTTAGTCGCCCAGGATCTAGACACCTGAGCATGCTCTACCATGGGAGAGGGTCGGTTACTGTATGATTTGTCCACCCCGAGACTGGGCGACAAAGGTGCCCAGAAACTGGGCGACATTTGGCACCCTAAAAAGTGGGGCGGGCGACAAAGGCACCCAGTTGCTGGGCACCCCATATTTTGAGTGTAGTTGGAAGGGTTTGGATTTTTCTGTGCAAAGTCATCCTTTGCCTCTTTGGGTGGCCAGAAGTGCCACTTATCTCACCCCCCTTTTTTTCAAGGCTGCCTCTGGATCCGCCACTTTCACCGCGCTCGGTCCACTCGTACATTCCAAAGCTGGTCCAAATCATATCGGTTCTCATCGCACTCTCACGGCCGGCCCGTGCCCTGGTCTCGCCGGGCTCGCAGGCGAAGGGTGGCCTGGAGGTCATGGGGATGGGGGTGCTCCACGGGGCCGGCTTTTTAGAGGCGCCCGAAGCGCACGACGCTAACAGCACTGCCGTTGGCATCGGTGCAGGCAGGCGGGCCTTAAAATCGGCAACCTACACGCCGCGGCCCGCGACGTCGCCGAGGCCCCCCTCCTTTGCGGAACCCAGCTGCTTTGCGTTATGAATACATTATGAGGTTAGTGCGATGGGCCCGAGTGGGACGAGGGGGCGGTATGACGCCTTGGCGCCGCGGCGCTGGCTTTCTGCGCGGCTGATGACGGAGATGGGAGGAAAACCGCGAGCTGGACTGTCGCGACAGCAGTCCGTGCACGCGCGGGGCTGCCAGCGCGCGGCCGTTCCTTACCGGAGTCTGCCCAGGAAAGGCTAAGCACTGCTGCTACATCGCTACACTGCTTGGCTGGCGGGCCGCCAACTGTGTACCGGCGTGCGCTACCGGTGTCACGCGTGGAAGGGGCGGCGGCCCGGAGCCGGTCGCGCCAAGGCCTTGCCAGCGCGCCGCGCCGCCAGCGCCGCCAGCGCCAGAGCCCCGCGGATGCACAAGTTAATGAATTCCAGTCGCCTTATCTCCTGTGTGCGAGGGGCCCGGGGCCCAGGCCCAGTATAAAGGTGAAAATAAACTTGGAAGCAATTAAGCAGAGAGCCCGGAGGGGCCAAGGGCTGGAGGGGCGGCGCGGGTTAGCGAGTCCCCTAATAGCGGGGAGAATAGCAGCAGTAGGGCCCCGCCAGGGCCGCCGGGGCCCCGCTAGGGCCAGGGGTGGCGTCTATATCTAATTTGTGGCTCTTCGCACCCCTCTCTGGGCCGGGCAGGCGGGCAGGCAGGCGGGCAGGCAGGCAGCCCGGGTCCACGCATCGCCCCACCGATAATCTCGCGCGTGCTCTCCGCAACCTGCAGCTCTTGCGCGGCGCGGCCCCGCGCAGCCCCGCGCAGCCCCGCGCAGCCCCGCGCAGCCCCGCGCAGCCCCGCGCAGCCCCGACTGGAGTCCGGGGATCGGGCTCCGGCCGTCGCTTCCGGGAGGCTTGCTGTGTGCGCGGCGGCGCGGCGGCGCGGCTGTGTACGTGTTGGTGTGGCCGGACGTCCGCCTCCCTGTTCCACACGAGGCGCGGGTTTTGAAGCCGGTTCGCCCCGCCCTCCCGGAGGTCCCCGAAGTCCTCGCCGTCCCCGGAGAACGGAAGGCGGCCGCTGCGACGCGAGGCGACGCGAGGTATCGCCAAACTACAGCGTCGGCGTCCGCTCCGCCGCCGGGTTTGCTCGCTACAGAGGCGCAGCCGCGCCACCGTGCCGTTGTTTGGCCCTTCCGTCCCGCTCCTTTGTGCGCCCCGTCCAACTTGCCCTGTGTCGTCGCAATGACGTCATCCCCAACAGAAAAATAAACAGGACGTCATCAGTGACGCCTGACGCCGCGATATGGTGAGGGTGACTTTGTAGCACAGCAGGACTGTAAGCCGGGCCGGCAGCGAGCCCATTCTCGACCCTCCGCGCTTCCTTGCTCTGTCTCTCTCGCACCTTTGCCGAACGCCTCGTGAGTGTGAGGGAGACAGCTGGCCGCGGTGCGGAATGCTTGCAGGCGGTGCCGAAGACCCAGGCCTGCCCGAGGCCCGGACGCTGACGGATGCGCGCCCGGAGCAGGGCGTGGCCTCGGCGCGGCCTCGGCGTGGCCTC